TTCCCCCCTCGCTTTGCAGTAAAATACCACAACGAGGCACCTCGTCTCCATCAGAGGCCCTGAGTTGGTGTTGGAAAATTCCACAGTCTCATGGCAAAAGCATACGTATTTCTAAAGGGCAACTTCAACATACACATAGCAATATGAATATAAAACAACATCATACAAGACTACACTCTTTGGAAAAAAACTATGATGTTGTTAGCTAGCAGCACGACACGAGAGGGGGTGGGTGGCCGACACCCTGCCCGATCGCCTTTGTCTCCCTAGTGGCGATGTTTACACACCACAACAGGTCCTGATTTGAGGCTGTGTCGACCTAGGGAAGGCCCAGGACCGGTTCAAATATTCTTCACTAGTGTTGGCCGTGAGCGGGAATCGAACCCGGCTAATCGGCTTGGTAGCGCAACGCACCTAACCACATGAACACACGCACACTCAAATAAACTATTTTTTTTATTTTACCAGATAAGGCCCACTGAGCTACATAGCTCTTTTTTCAGAAGTGACCTGGCCACAAACGATAGCTCAACGAAGTGGCTTATCACGTGGTACATTGATTGAAGCCAAATACTTTCAACGCGTGCTGATTATAAATGTGGAGGTAAAAAAAACGGAGGACACGCAGAAAAATATACGCGACCACGGGGAGAGAGAGCGAGACACGCGAACTCCAAATATACAGCAGCAGGCGTCAGGGTCGGGGTCGAACCCACGTCCATCCTGCATCCCAGGCGAGGTGGTTAAAGTCTCTCGCCACCGCGGCGCCCACACACGCACATGAATCGAACCGAAAGTCGTCTCGGGCCTCATCACCTCCCATCTGCATCTGTGGATAAAACAAGAGAGCTCAAGACGAGGGAGGGGGCAGGGAGATGAGGCGCTTTGGTCTCGCAACCCGAGGCGTTTGGGTGCCAATCGCCCCAGGGGGTTTCTGTCGGGTGTCACGTGACGCTTTATTGCGTGAGCTGTACAAAATACGTATTGTGCGCCAAAAAGTAGTTGTCCTGTGGAAAGATATGTCCCCGGCACGGTAACGTGGAGTTTCCACAACTGGCTCGTGGTTGCAAACAGGAGATGAGCGTGGCTATGTCGATTTTTGGACGAAACTTTGGTCTCGTGGTTTTTGGTGCGAACTTTCGATATATGTCACGTGTTATATACAACATACAGTACTGTATGTTATATATACATAAAACATCACATATGTCGCGTGTTATATACAACATACAGTACTGTATACGCCAATGAAATAGCAGTCGTCCATAGTTGGTATCGCTCGCTCTCTCTCTCCGCCTAAACGCCTCGCTCCTTGGGATGAAAGTTTCTTAGTTCGCTGACAATGGGAGGGTCGTTTTTTTGAAGGTCTGTGCCACGAGACTTAGCGACAAGTCAAACTTTCAGGCCGAGTGCGTCTTATAATCCGGTAGTTATGTATGTACATTTAGCCAAATCAATCGCCACAATCTCTTTTGATGTTAATGCCGTTTTTGTACATTCATTGGTGACCTAGACTGAGAGCATTAATTCACTACACTCGAGAAATTGGTTTCATCACAGCTGGCTGTATGAACGTTATTTCGCACCGTACTTAGCCAACCGTGTGTAAAAGACCAGATTTGTCTAGCTTGAGTGAAACCGGACACACATTATTGTTTTTTGGGGGGGGGGAGTAGGGGTGGTAGGGGGTGCGTCTTACTTTCCGGAGCGCCTTATAATCATTCCTACGCGCAACCTCCTGGGGAAGGAACAAGTGGCCAGACTACACGGGGCGCGTGCGAGTAGCACGAACGCAGCCGGTCGGGACTGACGGCTCTTTTGAAGCCACGCTATGAATGCGGTGCGGCCTGTGGCAAGGGGTGGGGGGAGGGAGGGAGGGGATGGGTGGGGGAGATGGGGACGGGGGGGGGCTTTGGAATTACCCTTTAGGTATGCAAATGAGCGTCGTGATGCGACAGAGAAGGGGGTGGCGTTGAGGGCAGCGCCGGGTCGTGATCTGTCTTACAGATTAGGGACAGAATTGGCACCGTGCTCTTTTTTAGCCAATTCGCAATCTTTAGATTGAGAAGGAGAGGGAAAGAAGCTGGGGGGGAGAGAGTGGGGGGAGAGAGACGGAAAGGCCTATGCATTTCATGGTAAGGAAAGTGAATACTGTGTCTGATCCAGTTATTAATATTTACATTATATATTTTCATTATATAGTAGTCTATATTGTATATTATACACACCGGGGTCATTAGATGTATTTATTAATTGTTTTAAATAACGGTAGATTAATTACGATTCACATCGGCCACACGTCGGGATGGAACACGCCCGGTGGAAGACGTCGACAGGGAAGATGGATTGTTGTTAACAATCGCAGGATCGTGAGAGATGGCGAGGCCTTCATCCAGCAGTGGATAGATCGTGGCCGCTGACCATCAGCGGAAACATTCTTTTGAGTGCCATGTTTTGTTTGTAGTTGCAGAGCGCAGAGCCAAGAGGCCTCAGGCTGCAGCTGCTGTTCGTGTGTTTTGTGTGGAGGTAAATTCAGGAGATTCTGGCTGAAATGATCATGGAGTTTGTTACTTACACGTCAGGCTTTAGCCAGCGGTAACAAAACAAAACCCAAAACATAAATTCGACATTCCTATGGCGGGGGACAAGTAGATACAAAAGACAGCCGCTGGTGGCTTTCCACAGAATGGTACTCGTTTTATCGACCTTGCAGCCTTCCAAACGCGAGCCCTGGATTCAATCCGCTAGTTACATGACTGATACATACCGTATGCTACTTACTCGCAGTAAGAAGGCGGACTTGAAACATTGCCTCATATTAAATCCGACTGCGTGTTGTTGTTGTTATCATTACGTGGCAGGATTGTGAGAGATCACGGGAGCTTGGGGAGTCTTTTCTCCAGCAGTGGATTGAACGCGGCTGATGATGAGTAACCCTCGTTAGTTTTTGAGGAGTGGGTCCAAAACTAAAAATAACAATACAACTCAACGCATGCCATCATTAACACCGTCCTAAAGAGGAAACGATGCAGAATAGGCGACGTTTCGGGCAATGGCCCTTTAATAGTGTGAAATTTTGAAGACAGTAGTTATTGGCGAATGCAGTGTATTGCTTTAAAGCAATGAACACCACCAAGCCAAGCTTGGTGGTGTTCATTCGGACGCTGTCTTTCCGACAGCCCTGTTTTTCACCGGAGGACGGCTGCTTGCGTTGTGGCCGAATCGTCGTGAGAATTTTATTTTATGTTTTATTATTTTATTATTTCCCGTCTACGTGACTTTACCGAAAGAACCAAGAAGAGGAATCCCTGCAGTCACGAAGGCTTTAAATCGAAATTGACTGTATCGCTGTTCAGCAATACACAATAGTATTGTATAGAATATTGTATCGCTTTAAAGCAAAAAAATCACCGTAATTGCGCACCATTGTCAACGCTGCGATATCTACCGAATCATCTCCTTAACAGAGATCACCACCAGATCCATCCCTCCGCTACGACGAAGGGGCATGATCGTAAAACCTCCTGAAAACGAGTCACGAGACTCTTGTGGCGATGGTGGTTATGACGTCGGTGGACACATAGAGGGCCATTTTTGTTCAATTATTTTATTACTTTTGTAAATATCTGTCTTGAGAACGTTGTACGTTCCATCGCCCCCCGCCCTCCCTCCCCCCCACCCTGATAAATAATGAAATTACTCTGGCTTCACTTGGCCCCGTCCGGGCTTGTGGTGTGTGAGAGTTGCCGGCGGACACAAACGCCGCGTGCGTGTCGGGCCTGGGACGCGGTTGGAGCCCTTCCCGTGTCTGTGTTGAGCAGCCGTGTAGCGTGGTGGCGTGAGAACGTCTGTGAACGCCGTGTGAACGCGCACACTTGGGCGAGTCGTAGGCGGAGGGAGGGCGGCGTCCCGCCTTGAGTTGTTTGATGAAGTGAAACCCAGTGCCGGATTAAGCTAGTGCGGGGGCCTGTAGCATATGTTATAAAGGGGCCCTAAATAAAAAACGAAATATGAAAATACCTACATTTTTTTAACTTGCATAGTAAAGTAATTGTATTTTTTCACTTGCTATACAGCGAGATAATACGACAAATTGCTAACCTTAAACACCCAGTCGTTCATAAAAGTTGAAGGCAGTATAGTACTATAGTAATAGAGCAAGTGCAGAATCACTGAACCGGAATTGATAGCTTGAAAGCATTTAGCGCGGGGCCCTTGAAAGTGCGGGGCCCGTAGCATATGTAGCTACTTGTGCTACGAGGCTAATCCGGCACTGGTGAAACCCTTTTGCTCGTGCGCACTTTGCTGCACCTCGACTCGCGTCGACTACACATGTATGGATGACTTGGCACCGTTGTCTGTCAAGCCACGTGGGTGTCCGTGTCACCGTGCTTCACCGGCGCTGATAAGTGCGGCGCGTGGGGGCTCGAGACGAGTACAGATGTAGAGATATATGTTTGTTTGTATGAATTCACTTGCCACTGATGGTGGCCGTGGACGGGAATCGAAATCATGTTTTTTTTTCATTGTTGTTGCTATGTTCGTGAACCACTGCTCCGCCACATTGTATAAATGAATGCAACGTTGCATTGCAGATATAGAGATATTATACACATTATAGAGTCCACGCTTTAGATTTGAGTCGAGAGTGGAGAGGAGTGAGCTGGGGTGTTATTGGTGGCGCTTCGCTCATGTCGGTGCTTAATTTAAGACGGTGCACGGTCGGAAAGCTGCTCGGGGAATTATTGTTGGAACCCAGCCACATCCGTCTCGCCATATGTTGGTCCTTCCGACGATTATGGAATATATAGGGTACTATTTTATAGGATTATTTGGACATGCGTGGCTTGTGCTCTAGTGGTAGTACCTTACACCGATAAATGCCCCCGAGTAGCGTTCCTGAGAAATGAAGCCCGGGTTATTTAGGAAACGTAGTGTTCATAGTAGCTCCAAAAATAAGACTTGTACAGCAAATAAGACACGGACGATGAGATTTTTTTTCTTACAAAATCTTTAAAGGATATTAAAGATACATAAACATTCAAACAGCCTCTAACCGCCTTTTGTAAAATCATCTTAATGTACAGCCAGGGTTCATAAGCCACACGGAACACAGAAAGGAAAACAGCAAGACATACATCAAAGACAAAGACCCCCTCGTATATCCTTAGACTTTTTGGGACAAGTGCTGTTGGCGAGCACCTATGAAGGCCGACACGGCACACGAGGGGGGGGGGGTGGCTAACACCACGCGAGGCCGCCTTTGTCTCCCCAGTGGCGATGTTTACACACGGCACCAGGTACTCATATGAGGCTGCGTCGACCTAGATGAGCGCCAAGACCGATTCACGTATTCGCCACTGTGATTGGACGTGAGCGGGAATCGAACTCGGATAGCCGGGCTCATAGTGCAGCGCGCTAACCACCGCACTACCGCTCCCCATGCACTCACAGACACATGTCCACACTGACACACACACATAGACGGGTGTAGATGTAGGCTAAGAAGCGAAAATCAATCTAGGCGGCGCTACGCCCGCGTGACACACTCACACAAGAGAAGCTGGGAGCTTTGCATAGCAATACGCAGCATTTTCGACGCACACCTTCGATGCAGCTGACCACGTGCTCCCACGCACACACAAGGACAAAGACCCCCCGTGTAGCCTTGGCAGACTTTTTCGGACAAGTGCTGTTAAGCGAGCACTTCTGAAGGCCGGCACGGCACACGAGGGGTGGGTGGCCAACACCACGCCCGGCCGCCTTTGTCTCCCTAGTGGCGATGTTTACTACACACTGCACCAGGTACTCACTTGAGGCTGAGTCGACCTAGGGGAGAGGCCCGGGACCGGTTCAAACATTCGCCACTGTTACTGATCGCGAGCGGGAATCGTACTCGGGTCGCGCGCGTTTGCAGCGCAGCGCGCTAACCACTGCGCCACCACTCCTCACGCACAGACGCGCCAGCCAGTCACGTCGGCTGAGTCGGTCAGTGAATCTCCGACCGCACAGTTGCGCGAGACTCGCGTGTGTAACTCGGTCTGCGCCGAGAGCACAATTTACCCGTACCTCCAATGGTCGCACCGCGTGTGCGTAAAGCACCGTCGGCTCTAAAGCGATGGGGAACTGAAGGAGAAGAGGCTTCTGGCTTTAGTGCAAACTAAAGGCATCGGTGATAGACAACGCTACGACTGTACATCTTTGGACACAACTCATTAACACCCTGTCGGCTACGCATTACGTATTTCAATATACATTTAGATAGATATACCCTGTGTGTAGACGCGCGTCTGGGGGAAATGAGAGAGGCATTTGCTTTGACTAAAAGATGCGAGTAATATGCACACACTCGCGCGCGCACGTCTTGCACGCGTCTAGTAACACTATAAAAAAAATAAAAACAACAATAAATCTTCTTGGTTCTTTCGGTAAAGTCACGTAGAAGGGAAATAATAAAATAATAAAAATAAAACATAATAAAATACAATTCTCACGACGTTTCGGCCACAACGCAAGCAGCCGTCCTCAGGTGAAGAACAGGTCTGTCGGAAAGACAGCGTCTGAATGAACACCACCAAGCTTGGCAGCGTATATTTAATCTATTTAAGACTGTACCGAAAGAACCAAGAAGATGAATCCCTGCAGTCACGAAAGCTTTAAATCGAAACAACAATTAAGTTACTAACTACATTCATTAAACATAACAATCAACGCATTTTTTTGTACCCTGTCTGGTTCCCTGAATGAAGATTTAAAGTTACTCGACAACAACAACAACAAAAAGTCGCAATCATATAACAACAACAGCAACAACAAACGACGCTTCTTTCGTCGTGTGCGGATGACACTCTCCCCTCCCGGGTTGCTGGCGTCGCGCGAGACCTCCTCTTGGGACTCGGCGAAGCTCAGACACGTGTAAACACTCGCGCGGCGTAAACTAGAACTAAAACTAGAAAGCTCTCACGCGCAGGGCAGTCGAGGTAATACGCGTTGTGGAATAACCTTAGCCGACAACAACAACAACAATGATAATTCACGTCGTTACAGAGCGGCGTTGCAAGGGATGTAACAGTCGCACCCTTAGCCCGCATTCAAACGAGTTCATGTAAATCAGTCCAACGCGCCCTGTAAGCTTTCGCGTGTTGTCCGAAACGGGCCGACACAAAGACAAAGATCCCTCCCCCCCAGTATAGCCTCAACAGACTGTAGGAGCAGGGCCGACACACGCACACACGCACGCACATCGCATCGCCTTTGCGACTCTTTCGCGGCTGTTGGTGATGGACGAAGTATCGATGTTTTTTTCGTCAAAATCAGACGATTTTAAACATTTACCCGTACGCGATTATTCGGGGGAGGAGGGGAGGGGAGGGGGGGTTGGGGAGTACGGGGTCATACGGTAGTGACAAGGTTTTTCCCCGTTGATGCAAGTTGATTGATAACGTCTGTGCATTGTGTGCCACGGCAGAGTCAAGCGACGCAAGAGAAATACAAAACCGGTGAATTTAGGGATCGCCTCGCCATCAACGCAACACACCTCCACTCGGGCTGTAGGAGGGGGAGCAGAGATCAGCCTCACCCAGGGTACCACTTAAGCTGTAGCCCGAAGTTTCAGCCGAGTTCGATTCCGATCACCGGTTCATTCGGGGAGTTGATTACTCGCTCACGACACTACCCACCCATCCCGCGTTCCGCAAAATAGTTATTGCCTCTATTCTTTGTTAAGATAAATCATCCGGTTTATAATACTGTATCGCTACCGCACGCCGGCACAAGTGGCTCACAATAGAATAACACTTTAAGGTATTGTCAGCTAAACTCAACAAATAATGGTGTTCGTATTGAGTGGGAATAATTTAGCAGGAAAATAAATCATTGCAGCAGCAGCAGCAGCATCAACAACCCTCCGTCCATTCGGAGCATGACGGACCGTTCACCGCGCGTTGTTCGGAATGCTGGGCCGACGTTTCGCCCCACGTGCCCGAAGCATTTTCACGAACTTTGTTTCACGCGGCACGGACCGATTTACAGACACATCGCTGGGCTGTACACATCGCTGGGCTGTACACAGCGCAACCGCGAAAAGCCTTCGCGGTGGTGACGAGGTGGACACACGGAATTCCTAGGGCAATTCACTCGGTACCATTCAAGCAAGACGCCACACAAACCACAAATCGGCTCGTCTCTTGTAGTTCCGTTACTAAGCCGCGTGTCTGACAATGTACTGTATGTATGTTGAACTTCTTTCGCACCGTACGTAGCCAACTGTGCGAATCGGAGGTGCGCGGGGGGGGGGGCAAAACAAGTTTTAAGCAATGTTTTTAAGCTCCGCCAGTGATAATAAGAATCACGTAATCACTTAAAGCCACGGTTCAGCTACAGACTTAAATCAACTGTGGTGACGTAACGTTAATCACGCCCACGGCCTTGCATTTGAATTACACGCCATTGCAGTTGGCCTCGCTAAAGTTCGTGACGGCAGTAAGCTGAACGAAGTTTCTTCACAACCTCGCGTCGGGCAGCCCGAGACGCAGAGAGCAGCGGACAGTCTGCGCAGCTGGACGAGAAGAGTTGCGTGTGTTGCTGTATTCTTCCTGTCAATCACCCTGGAAATCGATGTTGCGATGCAAGCTCAGCTACCCCCCCCCCCGCTTCTTCTCCCCCTCCCCTTGGGTTCCCCACCTAATTTTTGACATCAGCTCGACAAATTCGTCGATAACGCTGCACTGAAAATATGCGTAAACGCGGCGACGTTTCGGGCGATAGCCCTTCTTCATAAAGCACACCGCCTTGACTCTTGATGAGATCCGACTTTACGCGTTGATTCATTGTTGTGCGATCGTGTCACCTCGGGAGTTCATCATCTATCCATTCCTCCAACAAGTTCCAGGGTCTCTTTTGATTATAATATCCATCGAATCGTATCGCCTGTCCAACGGGTGCGACGTGGCCCGCAGGTGGCCGCACATGAAGCTCAACACGAATCGACATGAGCTCGACGCCTGAGTCAACATAACACTGGACATCTCGAATAGGAAAACAATATATAATAGGCGACGTTTCGGGATCAGCGTAGAGATAAAGACCCCCCGTATAGCCTGAACCCAAAAACCCCCTCTATTTTGGATGATATTTGTCGCGAAAGTCTACGTGTTAAACCTAACAAACTGTTGGGGAATATGCTGTTAGCGAGCACATTTGCAGGCCAGCACCACCCCAATAGCGATGTTTACACACCTCACCAGGCACTCGCTTGAGGCTGAGACGACCTAGAGGAGGCCCAGGACCTGTTCAGAAAATCATCACCGGTGTTGACCGTGAGCTGGAATCGAACTCGGGCGCCGGGTTCGTAGCGCAGCGCGCTAACCGCTGCACCACCGCTCCCCATAGCAAAGAAGATCCCATACCCAACAACCGCCATTCGCCACCGAGTGACGGTGACGTCACCACAGCGTCTGTGCCAGGTTACGTGCACGCATATATAAAGATCCCCCACACACGCAGACACAAGATCGTGAATATGGCAGTGGCCAAACGTTTCCAATGGAGGCCCCTCCTGAAACACAGTCTTGAGACTCGGTGAGGCTTTTGTGGGTAGAGTAAATGACACAGCAATGCATATTATTATTTTTACTATTCATATGACAAGTGGTAGTTTACTAACACCAGTGTGATTATCTAGAACGCGTGCTCACTGAGATGTCCCCAAGGATGTGTTCGTAACGTTACCCACCACGGCGCTTGTGCCAGGCTATGTGTACTTGACTATGTACAAATCGTACACATGACTGCACTGCTCACAAACCACTCGGTCCCCTGGCAGTCATCTCCAACGTTTAGTTTGTTGTCCTTTCTTCCCGCACTTCCGATGCACGGTTGGCTACCTACGGTGCGAAAGAGTTCGAACGTTCATCTACACCTCTCTCCATCGTGAACTGCTTAGGACGAGTAGGCCCGACTTAAACACTACTGTCAATGCAACCATTAGTACACTTCTGTGATCCTATACTTTTAGCAATATCTTTATTCCCATACAACACATTTTGACCTCTACTCGCAAATAAGATTTAAATTGCTGATTCGAGCGAACTCATATGATGACTAACAGCTCAAGTCAAAGAGATGATCTGGATAAAAAAAAAACACACACACAAACTGCTTGTTTTCAGTCAATTATAAATTGATGGATATTCGGGCTCGTTTCCCGAAACATCGGAGCGCCGTCTCTAGTGCCGCGACCACGAGCAGCCGATTAATTGTCCCAATAATCCGATTGGTAAAGTGTTTAAATATAAATACCTCGACGCCGATGCCCACATACTTTATTCGCTCTCGTTAAAAGTCAATGATCACCACACCCTGTTATCATTTGCACACTACCCTGTCATTCGCCCTTTGACTGCACGCGTGCACATTGCGTGCGTGCGCGCGCATGCTGTCCGCGTCATCCGTCGCGCGTGCACCCACGAAGCGGTCGACATCGTCGCAAACCTCCCCGCTCCTCACGCCGAGTTCCAGGGAGGTCGCTCTTGGCTCGTGAACGTCTCGGCGGCACTCTCACAGACCACGTGGAGAGTACAGGTTGTCCGTACAGTAGGGGGGGGGGGTTCATGTAGACTGTAGAGGTATGGTGGGTAGAGGGTAGGGGGCGGTGCATGGGGAGGATGGAGTTTGGGGGTGCATGCACCCTAGCGCGTCCACCCGTCAGGGCGAGGTGTCATCAGCCGCTGGCTCCGACGCCGGCGAACGACTCGGCGAGGATCCCTCGGAGGAGGCCGCGGACGAGACGGAAGGTCCAGTAGTAGCAGCAGCAGCTGCTGCAGCAGCAGCGGATGCGATGGGAGACGCGAGCGCCTGCAGGCTGTGGCCCTCTTTCTCTCGCTTCTTCTGCTTCATGCGCCGGTTCTGGAACCAGATCTTCACCTGGGTCTCGTTGAGCTGCAGCGCGGCGGCGATCTCGACGCGGCGCGCGCGCGTCAGGTACTTGTTGAAGTGGAACTCCTTCTCCAGCTCCGTCAGCTGCTTGGTGCTGAAGTTGGTCCGCTGGGTCGCGATGCCTCCGCCCATCGCGAGGCCGTTGTTGCCCCCGCCGATGCTCAGTCCGACTCCGCCGCCTCCGGCTCCTCCCGAGCCGCACGGCAGGGCTCCCACTTGCGCGCAGCTCATGTCGCCGATCCTCGCTGCGCGTGGAGACGACGGCCGCGCAGCATTTGCGGACGACAAAAGACACAACGGGCGCACACGTGGCGGTGAAGTGTAACGCAGGCACGCGTGAGCTCAGCATCAGTGTACACGATCAACGTGGGGACGAGCCAACACGCGCTCAATAGCACAGCCAACAGTCGTCGCAACGCAAATCATGCAGTCGTTCATCACGCGAGTCGCACCTTCAAGTCACTGGACGCGCGATGTCACACAACTCATGCCGCCACTAGAAACACAACTCATGCACAGGCGACACGACTCGCTCAGCCACTCACTCCGCACCTCGCACACGGAACTCAGCACTCAACGACATCAGCGCTCCCCCCCCCCCCCAATCATTCATTCCACGCAGAAGAACGTCACTGGTCATTGCTCAGGACGGAACTGCAATGAGATGTCCACCCAATTACTCGTCCGCTATATTAGTCATCATCACGAGCTGTGGGCAATACACCGTCGGACGAAGAGCCCTCTCCCCCATACTACTGCCGACTCTATTAAGGACGCTTTTTCATGCGAGCACACTCAAGTCGCGTGTCGCCTGCCACATTCGGTTAATAATTGACGGGGGGGGAGGAGGGGGGTGATGATGGGCGGGGGGGGCAGTGGAGAGCGGACACGGCAAGTAATTACGGGGGTCGTCGTCGCTGCTTCGTACGAAGTCTCGTGGCGATCAGAGGGCGCGGAGAGGATGACCCGTGTGCTCCCGTCTGGGCAAATTAAAGTCGCCCCCCCCCCTTCGCTGTTGGTTGGGGGGGGGGGGCCGGGATGGAGTTCGGGTGAAATGTCGCTGGACGCGGTGGTCGCGGTGGTTGATTAACTGGCGCGGTCGCCACGTGCGCATTATTTGTCTGAGCTCGTTCATTGAGAGACCGCGTGTTGTGAAACTGAGCAATCGAGATAGGCCCTGGTGGTGATGGTGGTGACGGGTTTCACGTGGTTTACGCGGGCCAGAACGATGCTGGGGGTGGCGATAACACTTGTTTTAGAGGAGGCCCTAACGATGACGGTGGTCGTGGTGATGGTGTCGATCGTTTGTGTCTCGTGTTTTAGGTTAGGCCCTAACGATGACGGTGGCGGTGATGATGGCCGTAATGGTGATTGTGTACCCGTGTTTCTAACGCTGGTGTGAAACAATATAACCTGCAGATAAAAAAAAAAAACACTTTGCCAATCGCAGTCGTTTCATTTCGCAGTCGTTAGTAAAATGACTGACTAATCGTTGCGTGTGTTAACTCGTCAAAGCTTCGGCAAATGACCCTTGCCCAGTGAAAATATGGCTGGATTATATATAGACGCGAACGCATTAGCGCGCGCCTACTACACACACACGCGCGCGCGTCGTATTAACATTCTGAAATGGCTGACTCATTATGCATAATGGAAGCGCTTGCCAGTTCGCTTGTGTCTAGAGAGCACACGGCACACACGGCACACACGCTGACGTCGTACATGCTTACAGCGAGCTCTCAATTGGGCTCTTATGCGTATATGTTTTTCTTTAACGAATAAAATGTTTAACGGGTGAAAAATAATTGTGCCGTATGGCTCTCCGTGCTTAAAGTTTCGCAGTGGCACGGCACTTGCTCGCATAGCAGTAAATATACGCGCGGCTTTATGCCGCACACCGATTTCACCCAACATGATTTACTAATGAAAACGTTTTCTGAACGCACTCAGTACAGTGTATAAATGTATACATACTTTCGTATGGAAGTGCAGGTTATGTATAAGTTCAGCGTGCATATTATTAGAAAGCCACTGGAGCAATGCACTTTTAAATGAAAAATTTTTTTTTTTGCGTTTAGTTTGTTGTCCATTCCCACGCACCTCCGATTAGCACCGTTAAAAAAGTTTCAAACAAACAAAATTAATGTCATCCGTCCACGTGTGTTGCACTATCAATGTAAACCCATTCCTAAAACGAAAGCGCGCAAAGTGGCGGTCACGTGCCACGATTACACGTCTGACGTTTGCCCTGTAAATTGCTGCTCAAAATAAATCCGCTTTCGCGGATCTATTTAAAGTGGGGGCCGCAACGCATCCATTAGGGGGGTAAATTGTAACCCGCTCTCAATAACTAATGTTATATAGAATTTCTGACAAGCGCGTGATTTATGACCGCACAGGCGACACATGGCTTTCAAAAAGGCGACCATTGATGAAATATTTACAGGGCCCCAACTTTCACGCTTAAATTCGTTAAATACAAATAATAAATGTTGTTATTACATAATAATAATAATAAATATGTATCATTTTTGTATTATATAGAGAGGTTCTCACTCGGCACGCATAATCACTTGCGCCGTTGTCTCAGCCGTTGTAATATAAAAGACACGCGCCGCTTGTGTGAAGCTCACATGTAAATATACGTCACGCGACTTGTCGATTACAACATCACGCGCCCCGAGGACGGTTCGTACAAAACGAGCACTCCTTTTGTATCGTGCCTTTTGTTGTTGTTGTTCGCGTTTAATATTAAACACGAGACTCATGCTTTCATGGGAATGCATGCAAACAAAATAAATAATTACTAAGACATCGACTTTTTGTCAGCGGTTTGATCCATCGATGCTCGGCGGGAGGAGGAGGGGGTGGGGTTGGGGAGGTATAATCATAAATCAATGCGAGAAAGCACAACGGCGCAACAACTTCCATGCGAACCACTCCCTCCTGCACGAACTCTTCACGAAGACAAAGATCCCCCGCGCAGCCTTAACAGACTGTACGGGGTAAAGGGCTATTAGCGAGTCGCACTTGTGGGTTGCCGGCACGGCAGTTACAAGGGGGTGAGTGGGTGGGTGGCCAGCACCACGCCCGGCCGCCTTTGTCTGCCACGGTCACGATGTTTACACACTGCAACAAGTACTCATTTGAGGCTAAGTCGGCCTAGCGGAGGCCCGTGACCGGTTTCAGATAATCGTCGCCCGGTGTTGGTGGTCGTGAGCGGGGAATCGAACTCGGGTCGCCGGATTCGTAGCGCAGCGCGCTAACCATTCCACCACCGCTCCCCACGAACTCTTCCCACACACACCACCACTGCAGTTCCTCGGAGGCGACAATTGGAGCCTGTTGCGCGCTCGACGCCTTCTCAAAAAAAATGGAGCATTGCCCGAAACGCCAGTTTGCTGTTGATTATACAGTCGTATTATTGTATATACATATATGAATAGATTTTGTTAGTGGCGCTGCAGGAGAGGTGGATTCGTGGAGAATGAGTCAGGCAGATGTCGGTGCACCAAGGAGGGGTGAGGCTATTTTGCCTGACAATTTAAACAACAAGTGCCAAGAACACGGCCTTATTAAACGTGTCACGATGTTTCCAGGAACAGCTCTCAAATCCACGCCTCAAAAATTAAAATCACGGACATCGCCTGAAATTTGTGTTTCACGTGGAAGTCGCCATTCAGATGGAAACAACGACTTGGGGGGGGGGGGGAGGCTTTCATTCGGAAATCTGATCACGGCGATTGATAATAATAATACTGTACTGATGATTATAACGATGATTGATGACGTTGATGATAATAAAGCTGTGATCGTGATGGTGATGATGATGAAACAGGCAGCCGGAACGTTCCCGCAGCAGTCGATGAGATTGCGTGAGCACTGCATGGGGAGAAGTTTGCATTTTTTGAGCATCTCAACTTTTGCCCGACACCTCTGTCAGAGAGTTGCAGGAAACATTTACAAATCGCGCGAAACATCCACGCTCGAACCGTCCGCCTTCCCTTCAACCCTCCGTGATGAACGGTGGCGGTTGATTGACTTACATAGCCAATTTGTGCATCAATAACATCGTTACTATTGTGCAGAGTTCGTCATTGTATTTAAATCAAGCGGCAATAAAAGTTGTGGTGTGCGCTGGACGCGCAGAGTAGAAACATAATCGTAAATAATCATCCCCCGGGGGAGGGGTGATTATTGTTTGCTGTGTGCACGTGGGCGCTGTCGTAAACATCTAAGCAGCCAGAAAATAATAACATTACAAGCGATTATATATTATATATATGTGTGTGTGTGCGTGTGTAGCATAACTTAACGCCGCACTTGCAAAGTACAATCCAGGGCATAAGTGTGCATATATCGTTTATGGGAAACAACTTTGTATTGTTACGTAGAGTGAATGGATGAGTGTGCGTTGCTGTAGGTCATTATCGTTAGCACAACTTTTTTCGGTACTAAAAACAGATCCTTCCCTGGCCCCCCGTATAGCCTTAGCAGACCGCTGGGGCAAGTGCTGTTAGCGAGCACCTATGCCGGCACGGCACTCAAGGTGGGAGGGTGTCTCCCCCAGTGATGATGGGTTTTTTTTACACACCCCAGAAGGTACTCATTAGAGATTGGGTTGACTAAGGGAGAAGGCCAGGACCGGTTCAAATAATCGTTACTGATGGTGGCCGTGAGCGGGAATCGAACTCGGAGTCCGCCGGGTTCGTAGCACAGCGCGCTAACCGCTACACCACCGCCCCCCCTCTCCAACAAAGACACACACACACACATATACACACATATACGACGCACATATATATATACAGTACACACATACACGAACATAACCACTCTTTAAAAAAGAACACGCACATTAGAGTCGAATCATCATCGATCAGTGGAGCATAAATAACGGCACAAAGCAGTTGCGAGCGATTCATCACCCCAGCGAACGAACGAGGATGGATGAATGAATGAGCACGTTTGACCTGAAACTCATTCAATCGCACTCACGACTCCACAATGCCTCCCCCCCCCCACCAAGCTGTAGCAATCTCGTACGCTCTCCGCCACGTGCAGCGGAATGGATGCGTGTCGGATCCCATGAACTCACGTAAACACCTCCACATTTCACCTGTTTTCGGCGGATTTCTCTTAACTCGCATCCACTCGAACGTGCAGTGCGAAGGCGCCGTGGGCTCCGACGCATTCGGCGACCCGTGCTGCTGCTGCTGCTGCTGATGCTGCTGCTGCTGATGGTGATGCTGAGTGTGCGACACCGGGCCGGCTTGCTGCAGACAGCAGCTGGCGAGCGGCTGAAGATCGCCGAGGTCTGGAGCCTGCAGCGAGTCGTGGTGGAACGCCGAGGCGCCGTAGCCACCGCCGAGCGAGCCGTGCGTCGCCTGCAACCCGCTCACGGCTCCGCCAACGCCAACGCCACCGCCGCCGCCGCCGAAGTCGGCCCCCTGCGAGCAGTAGACCCCGTAACTCGCCGCCCCCGCGTACGCTTGGCCGGGCGAATAGCACCCCGAGTTCGTCGCGGGGGCGTACGAGCCAGTGAAGGTGAAGTTGTGCGGCTGGTAGCCACTCTGCTGATGCTGCTGCGGCTGCTGCTGCTGCTGATGCTCATTCTGCTGTTGATGGTGGTGGTGGTGATGATGATGAGGGTGGTGATGGTGGTGGTGGTGATGGTTGTGGTAGCGCCCTTCCCCATCGCCCACGACGCCGACGACGCCGCCGCTCGCGCCCGCCGCCGCAGCGCTCACGGCGCACGACTGGAAGGGAGCGAGGCACGGGTCCCCAGCGGCTGCCGCAGCGAACGAGCGAGGGTTGAAGCCGCCCGCCTCGCCGCCGCCGCCGCAGAATGACGAATACTCCAGGAAACTCATGGCCGCATTGTCCATCTGTCTGCGCAAAGTGGCCCCCGTGAGCCCCACGGCTCGCGCTCGCTGGCCCTCCCGGAGCAGCCGAGTGAACGCGAGCGAAGCTCGACACGGACAACCACAAAAACGCCGCTCCACGTGTCTGCACGCATCCAATGGGATGCAACCCCTCGCCGCCGCTGACGTTTGATGGATGGGTCGGCTTCGCCTTGCCAGGCGGAGTAAATCCTATATTTTCCGATCGCCTCGGCCGGCTCCATTGCGAGAGTGCGCGCGGGGTTTTTTGTTTGTTTGTTGTTTGTTTGGTTGTTGTTGTTGGCGCGTTTGTTTGCGTGCGTGCGTGTGGCTAAAACGGCACAGGGTCATAAACTACTGCGTGAGTGCGTGCGTGGACACCTCTCGCTCTCTGGGAATTGCACGAGAAAGCGATTTATAAGCTGTGCTCAAAGGAAGGTAAGAGGCCGACGGCATGAGGACTCAAAGTGAAGTGATTAGCGAAATGGTGTAAAAAACATTTTTACAAGGTTTTCCGGCCGGCCGGGCTACTGTAGTTGCCTGCTGCTCCTGTTATTATTGATGTTGTTGGTGGTGACTTAACCCTAGCCGGCTTCGAATGTATCTCGGCCCGGGTTTTTATTCCATGGCATTTGCCGTGAGTGCAGGGTTGTAAATGTGTTCGTTTGAACTTTTCCTGCCTCCGAGCAAAGTCTTTTAGAATCGCGCATGGCTGCAGTCAAAAGAGTTGGGAGAGTTGGGAGAGTTGCCCTGTCCCAGTCTTCAGACGCTGCTTCATTCACACGCTCAACAAATTATTCGTTAGTTTTACACGTAGGAGGCTTTTCGCGACCAATTTCATTCATGATAGAGTTTTTTTTTTTGGGTTAGATCGCGTTAATATATAAATGTGTCGTTAAAACCCGCCACCACCCGACGCAGACAACTGGTAAGGGTTGTCACGTAAGTTAGTTGTTACAAGCTAGTTGTAATTACTGGCGAAACGTCGTACTAGATGGTAAATGTTGTGGCTTGGCTCTCCAACACACCGGTTAGTGCTGTACTAGTACACTACACAATACACTACACTACTATATACTACACTATACACTACACTACTATATACTACACTATTATACACTACACTACTATACACTACACTACTATACACTATACTATTATACAATACACTACACTACTATACACTACACTATACACTACACTACTATACACTACACTATACACTACACTACTATACACTACACACTAGTGCTGTACTAGTGACGAATTGGCCACGTTCTGTTTACGTGACAACCCTTACTAGTTGGCCGTGTCGGGTGGTGGCGGGTTTTAACGACACATTTATTTACGCGATCTAACCCCCCAAAAAAAACCCTCTATCATGAAATTATTCGTTGCTATTATTACGATGAGTACAACTGCCCGTGTATCGCTTCCCCTGCGAAGCTGCCACCCGTTTAAGTGAAGATTATTCCAGCGCGACTCTGCTTTCGTACGTTTTAAGCACCTCCTTGAGTGATGTTTCGCGTGCATTCGATTTGAATTAGTGAGTGATTGCATGGAGGCTGTTGCGATTCTACTTTAGCACGCTAATTGCCACGATGTCTCACCACGTAAGGTACATTCACCAAGGCAAGGGGTCCTTCTGGAGCAACGCTTCCCAGCAGCATTAGATTATTAGCACGTGTGTCCCATAGGCCTCGGCGTATCACAGACTATAAACACACAACACAGACACAACATTGAACAGAGAGGAGAAGTCATCGTTATTTAACTTTTTGAAAGTTCTTCTTGGTTCTTTCGGTAAAGTCACGTAGAATGGAAACAATAAAAATAATAAAATAAAACATAATAAAATAATTCTTACGACGTTTCGGCCACAACGCAAGCAGCCGTCATCAGGTGAAGACCAGGTCTGTCGGGGAGACAGCGTCGTGAGAATTATTTTATTATGTTTTATTTTATTATTTTTCTTGTTTCCATTCTACGTGACTTTACCGAAAGAACCAAGAAGATGAATCCCTGCAGTCACGAAAGCTTTAAATCGAAATTTTTGAAAGTTGTTCAGAGGGTGGCGGGGAGGATGGGGGGGGGGGGCTAACCTGTAGGTACTGCACTCAATGAGTTCCGCCTCAATGCTCACTTGTGTCATCACGTGGTTCGTGGTGAGAACCTACTCGCTCCGTGACTCTTAAAGATCAGCCTCCGCGGGAATCGCATTGCGCTCTCACTGGAAGTAATTTGTCTCATTGAAACCCTCCCCGTTCTCCTTTGTTGTATTTATTTTTATGATTTTGTATTAACCCCCCCCCCCCCCACAAGTGTTTTTTTGTTCCGGTGGCGTGTATAGGACTTTTGCAGTAGGATGAATGGTGACGCATTGCACGTGCTATGTATACACAGAATAGATAGACATGGCAGCTCTTAACCAACCATGCACAGGAAGCTCCTCTGTATATATTATAAGCGTGTATAATGTAAGCACGATTGCTATAGTTTGCTTCATAGCCTTTATTACGAAAGTAATTCAAACCGTGATAAAAGTGTCATGACTATTTTACGTTACACAAGACATTGGCCGAAACGTCAACTTCACGTAACGCGTGCACATCTTAGTACAATCACAACAATGAACAGCCCCCTTTGTCAATGCCACTGCCGGATGAAGGCTTCGTCGTTCACGCCTTACATTCACGGAGGGATTGTTGTTTGACCATACTTCACCACGCTGGTCAGGAGTGCAGGTTGGCCCAGGACCCGTTCGGATGTCGCCCTACACATATTTGCACCGTGCTACGCAGTGTTGCACACACGTCTAAGTATTTGATTAACGCAGGGAATACATGGTCGTGAAAGTGGATCGCATAATTACACAACACATACGTGTGCACGTGAGAAGCGAGTCTTCATGTACCATGTACGTAGTGGCCTAAACACGTATTTGTTGTGTAATTACGTGATCCACTTTCACGACCATGTATTCCCTGCGTTAATCAAATACTTCGACATCTAAGAATAATACAACACGTGTTCATTGATATAATGGAAATGAAAACATGTCAATTAATAGCATACAGTATGAACGAATAATTATTGTTTCACTTATCTATCATTTGCATATTTGGAAGAGACAGAGAGGAAGTCTCGTGTATTCTATTGCATCGTTAGTTCATAATAAACCCGGTGCAGACGCTTCGGGGGTAAGTGGGCAAAAGACGAATGACAAATGGGTGTTGTAGAAAAGGATAAACTAACATCGGGTTAGACATTAACTGGCCAGATAGTGCCTCGTTTAACGACGCTTCTGACCACCCACACAATGCTTGGTTAAACGTCACGAGCGTCGTAAATACGAGCGCAATAGATCATCACAAGTACCGTATAGGTGCCGTGATGATGGCACAGTGGTTTAGCAGGAGTCTATAAACTGGCAATTCGATTCACCGGCCACGGATAACATCAGCTGTGAATTGGTGTCTGGAACTCATCCTGGAGAAAGGTGAAACCCTCTCCCCTTCCCCACGCCCCAACTTCATACCCGAGCCTTTACTAAGTCGCACTGACCAGCGTGGTGAAGTATGGTCAAATACCCCCCTCCCGCCCGCCCCATGTGACTTGCACGGCGCGGAGAGGTCTTCATGGAGCAATACCTTCACAAAGGGGCTGCACAGCATCATCATCATCACCACTTTATAAATTGTTGAGAGTTTTTTTTTTACATTGGCTGCCTATGCTGCCTGTGCTGTACTCTATACACTCTATTCCTCTATTCATATTAAGAGCAGCGAGAGACAAGAAAGGCCGAACCCGAGTGAGAATAGTTGGATGATAGGAGAAAACGGATTAAATATTTCAGAAATAAAAACGAAACAGTCCGGTTTAATAATACGAATTGAACAAAACATCTCACTGAGCTACGATTTGTCAAACCGCCAAGCTGCCTCTGCACCCGGCCAAAGTGACAACGCGTTGTTGTCACTTTGGCCATGCCATGATGCTACGTCGCAGCTGTTTGTCACAAAAAGTCACGTCGGGTCCGCCGAACATGAAAGAAAGCCCCACAGGCGTGCGATATCTACTTTAGACGTGTACAGCACCTTTGTGAATCTACTGTTACGCCCCCCCCGCCCATCGGCGTGTGTGGGTCTATGCGACCATACTTCACCACGCTGTTCGATACGGGTTGGTTGGTGAAGGCGCTGAGCATCGGCGCGAAAGCCTAAAAGTCCTGCGCAACTGCATTGCCGTCTGCTGCCCACCACTACGTAGCCGCCGCGCACTCTACAGCACCCATTGTGTGCGTGCTAGGCGTGGTGGTGGTGGCCCATCGAAGCACAAACCAGGCGCAAATCCCGCTGAGCGTACGATGCTTCGACAAAGATTTGGTGGCGCATCCGGGGCGATTTGACTCATTGGGCGATGCGGGTCTACGATTAGCGTCCGCGAGAACACGTGGCATGCGCGAGTTAACTTACTTCTCAATCAAGATCGCATCTTGTGTGAATTTCCGTCGCACTCCGGGTGTCAATTTGACCGCAGTAACCACCGCGTTGTGCCATCCCCACCGCCCCCCACGCCACCCCTGGGCGGCCGTGTTGTTATTCACTGCTGGATGAAGACCTCCCCACGTGGTCGCCTATCCATCACGGTGTGCTTTCGATGCCTGCGCGATCCATCTCGCTCCAGCGCGAAGAGAGGCCTCGATCATGTCGATCCATCTCTCCACGGTGGTCGTCCTCTCGGACCTGGCCTCATCCTTTCATTGGTCTCCGTTCGCGCACGGCCTCGTGCAACCGGACCGTCGTCCATTCGAGCTGCGCTAGATGTGTCCGCACTCTCTTTGCCACACTTTGTTTGTATCAAGTTAACAAGGTGCCCATTCATTGTAGCCTGACACATTACGGCGGTGGCGTTGCACCAGCGGTGGCGCGGTCGTCGATTATTTTTTGTTGTTGTTGTTGTTGCAGAAGTTCGCGGTTTGACTCCGGCCGTCCGCCCTGGTTTACTGCTTGCATGTTCTTCTTGGTTCTTTCGGTAAAGTCACGTAGAAGGGAAGTAATAAAATAATAAAAATAAAACATAATAATATGTTATTATGTTTTTATCAATAATATTTTATTATGTTTTATTTTTATTATTTTATTACTTCCCTTCTACGTGACTTTACCGAAAGAACCAAGAAGATGAATCCCTGCAGTCACGAAAGCTTTAAATCGAAATTTATGTTTGCATGTTGTGTTCACCCGCATTACCGCGAACGTTTAAGATCGCCACGCGTCGTTGGACGTGAGGAGGCCGTTGTGTGTCCGGCGTCATGATCCAACATTGTTTAGTTTTGCCACATTCTAAAAAAAACTACCCAGCAATATGATTCCATTGGGATTACACGCGCGCACACACACGGCGCGTGTTGCCACTCCATCTGTGAAACTCCTGCGCACTCGGTCTGAGACAGCAGAGGCTTTGCCTTCGCGGAGAGCCTTGCCCGACAGAGTGACAGCGCGGAACACCACGTGAGCTCGATACTTAATGTCGCCATTCGCATTGCCGTGCACCGGATTCAACCACGAGGCTGTGACAACAGTGAGACACACAGACGTACACACAGAACAACACATCGACAACGACCCCCCGGAGAGCACCTCGACCGTTTGGGGCAAGAGCTGTTAGCGAGCACCTATTATGGCCGGCACGTCACACGAAAGCGGTGGTTTCGATATCACCACACCCGACCGCCTTTGTCTTCCCAGTGCTAATGTGTATTACACACCGCAACAGGTACTCGTTTAAGGCTGAGTGGAGCTAGGGGAGGCCCGGGATCGGTGCAGATATTTGTCACCGATGTTGGCAGTGAGCGGGAATCGAACTCGGTTCAAAGCGCAGTGCGCAGATCACTGCATTACCGCTCCCCACTTAGCATATTCGTGCACGACTACACACGCACAGCAAATACAAAGATCCCCCGTGTAGTCTTAACAGACTGTTGGGGCAAGTGCTGTGAGCGAGCACCTATGAAGGCCGGCACGGTACACGAAGGGGTGGGTGGCCAATACCACGCCCGGCCGCCTTTGTCTCCCTCGTGCTGATACTCACGCACCAGGCACTCATTTAATGCTGAGTCGACCTAGAGGATGCCCACATACACTCATGCTGTTTACACGTGTGGGACGAACGACAACAACAAATGCCATACTTGTTACTGACAGATGGCAGCGGCGTGGAGGAGAGGAGGATGGGGGGTGGGGGGGGGTGGGACTTAATCCAGCAGTGGACTGAGCATGCCTGGTCACGACGACGATGGCATCAAGTGCGCATGCGCACTTCCGATGAACACGGTTGGTCACGTACGGTGCGAAAGAAGTTCAACGTACATATTTTTTGCTGCCGCCTTTTAACTGCTCGTCATTTTTTGCCTGCTGGCCATCGAACAAACACCGGTGGTCACCGCGCTTTCAGATGCGCTTATGGGGCCGTCTGGAACGCTCTTCCTTCCGATATTAAGAAGCCACTGGGAGCTGTGCACTTTTAAATAGAGATTGAAAAATAATTTTAGATTTGAAGCTTTCGTGACTGCAAGGATTCATATTCTTAGGTTTTTTTCGGTAAAGTCACGTAGGAAAAAAATTAAAATTAATAAAAGTAAAATAAAAAATAAAATAAAAATCACGACGTTTCGGAGTCAACACAAATTAACGTCGTGTTTTATATTTATTTGTATTTTATTAATTTAAAATTTTCACCTACGTGACTTTACCGAAAAAAACCTAAGAATATGAAAATGTTTTCTTTCGAACTGATTTTTGCGTGTGTTAGTTTGTTTTCCTTCCCGTTCAACAGTGCAACATACATACGCGCTATCTACTGCATTACTTATTTGTCGCTGAAATTTTAAATGTTGTTGTTGTTGTTTTAGTCTTCGGGTTGTTTGTTTTTATCCACGAGGGCAAGAGAGAGAGAGGGAGACTCGATGGTTCCGTTTCACACGGGAGCCTGGCAAGGGCGCGCGAAGTGAATGAGGTTTGTCGAGATGCGGCGACGTCACAGCGGCAGTAGCGGCAACAGTAACAGCAGCCCCTGTCGAGGAAGCGGCTATCAAAATAAATAAATAACAACCCCCCCGCCCCCCCCGCCCCCAACGGGTGACAGTGATTGAGCGATGTTAGTAAAATCCACGATTCTAGAAGTTGTGTCGATTCTGAGCTAACGATTTAAATTCCAGAAACCGATTATTTCGGTGCGGCAGTGGATATAGACCACGGCTTACGAAAATGAATGATGATGACGAATCCCTCATCAGGCAGAATTGTACAATGGCTAGCAAATGTAAACTTTTAACTCGTATCTAAAGCATATTTTAACTCGCGAATCTAAAGGACGCATTGCGCTGTGAGTCGAAATGCAGCGAGTGATCTGTAGTCATACAGGACACATTAGAGTTAGTCTATTTCACGTAGGGTTATTGTTTTCTTTTCTTCAAAATTCAATCTGACTTTTATTAACATTCATGCATGATGCATGAATTCTCTTTTGAAATTCATTTAGGATTTTTTTTGGAAGGTTACAGGCGTGACCCGCTCATACTGGACAGAGGTGAATAAGAAGCTTCATAGCTCACCGGATTCCTCCAGTCTAAATAAAGATTCTGATTCTGATAAAGGTGTCAAGATTAGGGGTGTCATCTTTGAACATTCATCAATTATGTTTCGTCTCACTTCGTTCTCGGTTCTTCATGGTCGAGTTTTGTTAACGACGGGTTTGATATGACCTCCACTGGGATAAGAAGAAAAATAAATAATAATAACAAATAAAATATCAACTTGAAAAATAAACGATTACATTTTTTAAAAATGTTAAAATAAATTAAATAACCCTATGTGTTGTGATTTTTAGACCGCCCTGTACGCGTATACATAGCATCTGTAATGTTGCGAACATAACACTACCGATGTTATACGCAGTATATAGGTTAGATTAAGGGATGATGCTGTGGTGTAACGGGTAGCGCACTCAGGAATTGCAATCGACATGTCTCTGGTTCAACTCCTGGCGCGGCAGTTGTAAGAAAGAACGCCACCAACTTAGCGCTCTTTGAAGGTCTCTCTCTCTCTCGACATCCCTCCAGTGGAGACCCCTAGCGTCGTCAGTGACGTGGGAACGAAATTGCAGGGCTGCACCTTAACATGTGCGATCTATAAACACGTAAGTATCAGACACAATCGATTCCTACAAAACACGATTCGATGTGCGTACTACAAGCGTGTGAATCGGTTTCAATCAGCGAGTCGATTCATTCCTCGGCTCCGTGACTTCACCGTAGAGCAATAACTTTTTTTACGAGTTAAAAGTTGACATTTGCTAACCCTTGTACAATTCTGCCTGATTAGGGATTCGTCATCATTTCTAGATTTGAAGCTTTCGCGACTGCAAGGATTCATATTCTTAGCTTTTTTCGGTAAAGTCACGTAGGTAAAAAATTAAAATTGATAAAAGTAAAATAAAAATTAAATAAAATCACGACGTTTCGGAGGCAACACAAGCTTCCGTCTTCAGGTGGAACCGTCACAGCTGTATCACTTGATCAAGTGATAGCTGTATCATTTGATCAAGTGATACAGCTATCGTGCTGTGACGGTTCCACCTGAAGACGGAAGCTTGTGTTGTCTCTGAAACGTCGTGATTTTTATTTGATTTGTATTTTTTTTATTTTACTTTTATAAATTTTAATTTTTTACCTACGTGACTTTACCGAAAAAACCTAAGAATATTCGTCATCATCATTATTCATTTTCGTGAGCCGTGATCTATTCACTGCTGGATGAAGGGCAAACCCTACCCCGTCGCCAATTCGCCACCGTCCTGCGATGGCTCAATGAAATGACGCTCCTGCTCCCACGTTCTCGTCTCATCGCTCCGTCTCCGCAGTGGTTGTCCTTCGTTGCGGGCCTACATATTGTTTGAGATCATTTGAGGGAGACGGGCAGGCGCGCGCACACGCGTGGGACACAATGCAAGGTAAACCGACTCCATCGGGCTGCTGTCTGCACCGAAGATGAAGACAGCTGCTGCTTGAATCTTCTTATTCCTCTTTCGTACGCCTGGATGTAGATGCAGAGCCACGACTACGATGCCTCATTCAGGTGGTCAAGCCCAGACAATCGTCGCACACGGGAGAGCTTGAAACGGTCCGTTCGTGCATCAAGGATGCCGCATCTACTGCCGTGGTTTGTGCGGATGCGGTTCAGGGTGGACCATGAGCTTCGGGGAAGATCAAAACCCCAGGGATCTTCTGCGTTGCGTCTTTCACAAGGTGTTTGTGTGTGTGTGAGTTATTTTGAGCCCCATTCAGCTTTGCGTGATGGTGGTGATAAATCACGTGCAGTGCCCACGTTTAGCCCTCGGAACTGGCAACCCCGGAGAGGACGTGCCACAAATACACCTTGAGGAAACGGTCAACTACCAGGGGGTCTTCTGCATTGGGTGCTTGCATGACAAAACAATACCTATTGTCCCGCTTATAAGATGCACCTTTTTTAACCCTGTATCTTAAAGCAAACTTTGGCGGTGCGTTCTTATATCTCGGTGGGTGTGCTTGTGACCACAATTGTAAAACGTTATCGGGCACCCTGCAAGAGCTTGCGGAAGGCGGGGCGAGCGTCTTTCTTTCCGCAGCGTCTCGTAATTCGCAGGTGACTGTGCTGGTTGTGTGTGCAGAATACAACTAAAACGTGACCAAGATTGCGTCCCAGAATGTCCGTACCCTACTGAAATAAAGCAGCCCTACGTTCGTAAACATGTAATTTACGGGTCTAAATAAACTCCCGAGTGATGTTCAATACGTGCCCTGTGTTTATTCATGATTGTACATGAACTACGAAAAGTCCACACATGCATTGGACAGTATACGCATATCATGTATATTACTGTCATTTGCAACCCTTTATCTACCCACTGCTGGATGACTCCCATAATCCACCCTCCACCCTACCCTCCCCGTCCATTGGCAGTGTCGGTTGTTTGACCATACTTCACTACGCTGGTCAGTGCGGGTGTCGGTAAGGTTGGAACGGAGGGGCCCGGTACAATCTACCCAAGCCTCGCGAGCCACGTAACACAAGCCACCACGTTGCAATATCATTCGTGGCCAAGGCCCCTTCTCTGAAAAAATAGCTCCATAGCTCAGTGGGCCTAACATCGTACAATAAACAAAATACGTCGTTTATAGTTGACTTCATATACAGTTGTCTGTGTGGTTGTTTATGAAGTTGCTGAGCCAACTGGGCCAGGATTGGGAACAAAATAAAACACCGGAGCCCATTCTTCACCCAGGCAAATGGAGAGCACAGACCAAGTGTTTCTCTCATAACATTCAAACTAACAACACCACATCTCAAGAATCACAGTTAAGAGACAAACAAATATAGATGTAGTATTGAAAACAATAATTAAATTGACATGTTTCAAAACTTAAAAACAATGGTCGGTGTGGATACGCCGCACCGGACGCTCGCAGCCGATGACTTCTGGTTAACAATGACCAGTCCTGGGCCGCCCCTAAGTAGACTCGGCCTCAAATGAGTACCTCGCGCGGTGTGTAGTAAACATCGCCACTGGGGGAGACAAAGGTGGCCGGGCGTAGTTGTCGCCACCCACTCCCCCCCCACGTGCCGTGCCGGTCTTCATAGGTGCGAGCAGCACTTCCCCCCTAGAGTGTGTCAGAGGCTATACGGGGATTATTTCTGGGTGTTTTTTTGTTGTTGTGGTCATGGTTCTGTTTATTTCAGGATGCGTGCATGACCCTTGCATTGAGCATTGGCGGGGAGGTGGGAAGGGGCTACTTTTCCTGATAACCAAAGATACGACGCCGCTGACGTCCTGCCCACCATTGTACTGCCATGTGAATGAACACTTGGCCAATTCGGTCACCGTTCGTGGTCAACAATAACAACAATGACGACAATAACAACAATCGAATAACGTTCCCCAAGACGTACACGTAACCGTGGCTCTCGAACAAGGTGCTACAAATTTTTCCGAGGTTTTCTTTTTTCCAAAGCGCCCAAACGACCCCGTCGTGGGCTGCCGGTCTCCCCATGCATACCAGGTGCTATAGGTGCGCTACATTTTTCGACAGTAGAGGGCAGTAACGGACACGCTCATTGTTTGTAATTCTAATATTCCTACGACTATGACCCCCCCGCCCCCACGCCTCCCCGCGCGCCCACACCAACAACCCGCACTGACCAGCGTGGTGAAGTATGGTCAATTAACCACCACGACCCCCACACGGCGTTGACGAGGTGGGGGGCTCTCTCACCTAGCAGTGGATCGACACTGGCGCGTCGCCTGTACGTGCACCGTGCGATATCTGACTAAAGGTTGTGATCGTTTTTCAACGCTGAGCAGCCCCCTAGCATCATTGAACTTATCCTATGACAGGTCAAAGAGGTCATCACAAGCGACGGCCGTTGACGTCACCACACACCGCCATCGCTTCCTTCCGTCTGCTCGATGTCCCCAGCCGATGACACGTGGGTGCGATAAGCGTGTCCGCAAAGCCACGGCAACTTACCAAACAACTCAGTCGGCTCCACTATTAATCACAGTTATATTTCTCATTGCTAAAAACAATAAAAATATATCTTCCATAGCCACTGCCCTTTCAAAGTGACGGCGCTGTAGCACGCAGTTCGAGTGTAATAGCAAAACTATATTTAAATTAATATAGCGTCTAAAACACAATAAACGAGTTTATCTGCAGCGTGATTTTGTACATCTCACTATGTTCTAAGAACTGCTTGTTGTGTTTAGTTTGTTGTCCTTCCCCCGCACCTTATATTAGCACGGTTGGCTACGTACGGTGCGAAAGAAGTTCAACATACATACAAGCATAACCCTGAACCGGATCAGTTTCAATATCGGACTCACCGTCTTCAAGAATCTTCATGGACTCGCCCCAGCCTCCCTCTCCCCTCTCATCTCACTCCACTCCCCTCCACGCACTCTCCTACCTCTCCTCTCTCATCTCACTCTACTCCCCTCCACGCACTCTCCTACCTCTTCCCTCTCATCTTACTCTACTCCCCTCCACGCACTCACCTACCTCTCCCCTCTCATCTCACTCCACTCCCCTCCACGCACTCTCCTACCTCTCCCATCTCACCTCACTCTACTCCCCTCCACGCACTCTCCTACCTCTCCCCTCTCATCTCACTCTACTCCCCTCCACACACTCTCCTACCTCTCCCCTCTCATCTCACTCCACTCCCCTCCACGCACTCTCATACCTCTCCCCTCTCATCTCACTCCACTCCCCTCCACGCACTCACCTACCTCTCCCCTCTCATCTCACTCCACTCCCCTCCACGCACTCTCCTACCTCTCCCATCTCACCTCACTCTACTCCCCTCCACGCACTCTCCTACCTCTCCCCTCTCATCTGACCCTACTCCATTTCACGCACTTCCTTACACCTCCCCACGGTCAGACTTCGACATTGGCATTTAGCTACCGAACATATTGCTGCCATACGCAATAAAAATACATAGCGATACATAGAGATACGTAGAGATGCATAGCGACCCATACAGACACACAGCGACCTCGACGTTGCCATTCAGATCCTGCAAATATTGCTGCCATACGCGAGATCAGAACTGCATAGGCATTGTCGAACCGATACTCATGCGGGAAGCTCACTTGTTGCGGCGTGGTATACTTACGAATCATTGCGCCCAGCGGCCTCGTGAGCCCCCCTCTCCAGGGTCGGAGGTGCCGGTACGGGGGTCCATTCCATCATCGCGGGGGGGGGGGGGGGTCCAGGGATAATTCTAGAGGGGGGCTTAGTTGAATTGTATGTGTACTGTGTATGACTGTGTGTTGTATATGGGGGGAGCGGTGGTGTAGCGGTTAGAGTGCTACGCTACGAACCTGGCGACCCGAGTTTGATTCCAGCTCACGGCCAACACCAGTGCCCATTATCTGAACCGGTCCTCCCCTAGGTCGACTCAGTCTGAAATGAGTACCTGGTGCGGTGTGTAAACACCGCCATGGGGGAGACAAAGGCGGCCGGCGTGGTGTTGGTCACCCACCGCTTCGTGTGCCGGTGCGGCTCCTTCATTAGCGCTCGCTGACAGCACTTGCCCCAAAAGTCCGTTAAGGCTATACGGGGGACATTTGTCTTTGTTTTTTTTCAAAGCGGCCTGTTGTTGTCGTTCCCGTGTCACAGCGCCTCCCCGTGTGTTTCGTGACCCCCGCCATTGCAGGAGGAGCGCAGCCACCGCATAGGCGAGACTCCAATGCCGATGCTGCTGCATGAGTGGCGATGTTGCGTACTGCGCTGTTATGAAAACTACGATGATACACGAATAGCAGGGAGCCGCACACAGTCGCCTGAGAAAGCACATGTGTGTGTGTCATATGTAGTGTGTTTGTCATATATACTGTGTGTGTGTCATATGTAGTGTGTGTAGTTATGTATGTCCCCACATCAACTCTGTGAGTGTGTGAATATGAGTGTGAATCTGACTGTATTCGTGATATAGGGGAATTATGTATTTGTGTCCGAGTGTGTGAATGTGAACGCGAGTGTGGATATTTGTCTGCATGTCTATCGGGGGGATATCTGTATGCGTGTGTGTGTGTGAATGCGTGTGTGTGTGAATGCGTGTGTGTGTGAATGTGGGCACGTGAACGTGAATGATTGCCGGGTCAGGCGCGCTGCGTATGCATGCAGCATATTAACAGTGAGTGTGAACGTTTGTGTGTGAGCGTGCAGGTGAGTGCATGAGTGTGTGCATCATGTGTGTTCACGTCGTACGTGATTTTTAATGCGAGTATGTGTATGCGCCACATGCATCTGTTTACGTACTGCATACCATATTGGTAGCGTGAGTGTGAATGTGTGCGTGAAAGAGTGTGCCAATGTGAGTGTATGAGTGAGTGCGTGTGTGTATATCTGTATGTATGTATGTGTGGGGAGCGGTGGCGTGCCGGTTAGCGCGTTGCGCTACGAACCCGCGGCGACCCGAGTTCGATTCCCGCTCACGGCCAACACCAGTGACGATTATCTGAACCGGTCTTGGGCGTCCCCTAGGTCGACTTAGCCTAAAAAAGTTATGTGTAAACACCACTCATCACTCATACCTGGTGCGATGTGAAAACATCGCCACAAGGGAGACAAAGGCGGCCGGGCGTGGTGCTGGTCACCCATCGCCTGGTGTGCCGTGCCGGACTTCATAGGTGAATCGCGAACGGTACTTGCCCTCAAAAGTCTGCAAAGTCTGTATGGGGGGGAGGGGATCTTTGTCTTTGCGAGAATGTGCCAATGAGAGAGTATGAATGCAGTGTGTGATTTTAAATGCGAGTGTGTGTATGCATGTAAGTACGTTCTGCGTGAACCACGTGAACCGCGTGAGTGAGTGCATGAGGAGTGCGTGAGTGAGTGGGTGGATGCTTCTCCTCACTCGCCATACCGGGTCCCATGACTCGATCCTTTTATAAGACGCCGCCTGTTCCGTCACGTGGCCGCCTCTCGCAAATGGGGGGGAAGATCCCAGCTGCAGCATTGTCTGCTGAGATGTACAATGGAGCTATTGGGGTCAAACGGTGAGGAGACCACGACTGAACTTCAATACAAAAACGCTCCATCAGCTACGCGAGATCTCGTGTAAAGTTGAAAACGCGCGAGATCTCGCGAGAACAAAACGAACCATCAATCTCCTCCTCCCTAGCACAAGACTCGCTTTAGAATTCAAACAAATTATGGTTGGTGATGGCGCTGCCTTTGGCAGTGGTGCACACGCACAAACAATGACAATACAAATTTACATTCGTCAATAAAATCAATGTATCGTATTCGACGTTTCGGGACATGACTCTTTCGTTATAGCACACTTTACAATTTTGATCATTTTATCTCAGTGGTGTAAAATAAAGCAGGTGTTTTCCGTTGCGCGACCGATTAATTTACTCTCCCAATCATCGGCTCGATTATTCGAAAATAGTTGCCGAACAATCTGATATCTTTTTGCGCCCACGTGTGTCGCTGGACGGGAGTTGATGGGCGGGCCTTTGTGACGTCATGGGCAGCATCGAACGCGTCACACTGGGTGTACCTAGTCGGGGGTTTCCCGTCTTCGGGAGGCCCGATATTAATCGACCATAAAAAAGTAGTCGATTATCATTTTCATCGATTATTGGACTCCTCGCTCAGTTTGAATATTTTTTTTTTAAAATACGTTCTGACTTACTTATAGCGAGGCAAATTTATGCGAATATTTAGTCAACATAATCATTTCCAGTAATAGGTTTTTACCCTTTCAACTGGTACAAAAACTGACACTGACACCTTTATACAAGGGATCATGTTTGCAATAACCACAACGCAAGCTCTCAATACTCTGATAGTGCACTGTTTTTGAGTTGTACGCCTTTTGGCATCATCTGGTCCAACACCAATGGAGACTAGGCTCTAAGAAAAGCTGTCTCGGGTGTGGACCAATCAACTTCAAGGACAGTGCATATCATTATCAGAGTTGTTTCTTTTTGTTTACATTTTGACTGCTTGTGTTGCGGTTATTGCAAACATGATCCCTTGTATAAAGGTGTCAGTTTTTGTACCAGTTGAAAGAGTAAAAATCTATCACTATTTCTTGCCACTGGTAAAGGAGGTCTCATAGTATAATCATTTCCATTTTGCGGGGAAGAAGGAAGGCTGGTCAATACCACGAAAAATCGTCGCTGAGTCTCAAAAAAGGGGGTAGGAGCCAGCAGTGGATAGATGATGGCTGACGAAGAGAGATGAGCGCGCGCGTAATTGCATTGTGAAATAAAACATCTTCAATGACCTCTGAGGCCAATAATCAATTGTACCACGTAACGAGAAAACCCCCATCGCAACATCGAGATAGCACGAGTTGTGTTCGGGTCTTGATTTGAAGTTGTGTTGCGCGTGTCTCCGTGTTGTTCGTGGGGAGCGGTAGCGTAGCGGTTAGCAGAGGATGGGGGGGGGGGGGTCGGAAACCAGTGTCTCCGCGTGCGGCTCTTCAAGGCATCGCTTCGTGACAGTTCTTTGTTAAGGACCCACCCGTCTCGTATTCACCACCACAGTGCATTGCGCCTCTTGAAATATTGAGGTCTTTTTTCATTTTGTTTACAGAATTCGAAAAAAATGTGTCTCTTCATATTTTGGTTGCCGACTCGTGGGTTATCGCTTTGTGCTACGAACCCGGCATTCCCAATTCGATTCCCGCTCACGGCCACCAACACCAGTGACAACTTTACAGAACCGGTCCTACCTGGGTCTCGCCTACTTCGACTCAGCCTCAAATGAGTATACCCGGTGCTGTGTGTAAAGATCGCCACGAGGGAGACAAAGTTCGGCTGGGCGTGCGTGGTGCTGACCACCCAGCCTCCTCGTGTGCCGTGCCGGCCTTCATAGGTGCTCGCTAACAGCACTTAGCCGCAACAGTCTGTTAAGGGGTATCCGTGTCTTTGTGTGGCTGGTTCGGTTCCCCCGTGATCCCCACCCACTGCGACCTCCCCTCCGAATCTCTAAGAACAACTCCACGTCTCTGTAGAGACCTAACCCAGAAACCTTTATTATGAATAATATTCGTCGCGAAAGCCTACGTGTTAAACTATATATATATACACACACATGTATACTAATTAACAACTGCACGTAATGGGTAATCACTCTAATTTACATTTAAATTGAGGCTGTTGATGAACACGAGCAGACGAGTTTCTTTGGAGACAGGCAGAATGATGATGATGGCTGCTGCTGTTGCTGCTACTGTTTGGCGTGTCACTGACGCTGCTGCTGCTGTTGCTCCTGCTGCTGATGGGTACCGTTGCCATTACTGCTGCTACTGATAATATTGCTGCTGCTGATTACAATACCACTGGCGTTACTGACAATACTCCTGCTGCTACAGATAAGACTGCTGCTATAGAGCTAAACTATTGCTGCTGTTTTTTCTCTTCTTGGTTCTTTCGGTAAAGTCACGTAGAAGGGAAATAATAAAATAATAAAAATAAAACATAATAAAATCATTCTCACGACGTTTCGGCCACAACGCAAGCAGCCGTCCTCAGCAGACGAGTTTCGGCTGCTTGCGTTGTGGCCGAAACGTCGTGAGAATTTTTTTATTATGTTTTATTTTAATTATTTTATTATTTCCCATCTACGTGACTTTACCGAAAAAACCAAGAAGATGAATCCCTGCAGTCACGAAAGCTTTAAATCGAAATATTGCTGTTGTTACTGCTGCTACTGATGATACACGTACTACTGCAGCTACAGGTGCTGTCAATGCTGCTGACGATGGTGATGCTATCTATGCTGATGCTGATATTAGTGATGCTGCTGCAACTGCTAACGATGCTGCTGCTGTTGTTGCTACTGCTGATGCTTTTGCTGCTCAGAATATTTATGTATCCTGGATGAATCCGATTAGCTACAAAGCTCTTTTTCACAGATGTCCAGCAGGGGCGAGTCACAGCGTTGTAACACAACAAACAATTCACAAACACGATAGGAGTGCACAGTATAGGAAAGGCGAACAATCACTGAAAAACAAACATACAGGGTGCTTCAAAAAATGTTAACACTCATATGAGAATGTCGTTTTTAATGGAAAATGAACGGACAACACACGGTAACATGATGACAAATGTAATGTTAATAGCTTTAAAAAGTCAAAGAGTCTCCACTCGTTCGCCATCGTTGTCAACACGTGGCCTGGAATCTTCTCCAGGTGGTCTCCAGAGCCCGGAGGCGGCACATTTCTCGAGGTGTTGTTGCAAATTCTCCGAAGTGTTAACGTTTTTTTGAAGCAGCCATGTCAAAATGAAACGAAACTACTGACGCTGCTGATGAAGACGTTAACCGCTGCCGGTGCTGCTGCTGCTGATGATAAATAGCACCATTAATAACGCTGCTGCTGCTTCTTCTTGGTTCTTTCGGTAAAGTCACGTAGAAGGGAAGTAATAAAATAATAAAAATAAAACATAATAAAACAATTCTCACGACGTTTCGGCCACAACGCAAGCAGCCGTCCTCAGGTGAAAACCAGGTCCGTCGAGGCGACAGAGTCTGAATGAAACAGCACACGAGCTTGGAGCATATATATAAGCTGGGCGCATTGACAAAGGAATTTGCATATCAAAAGGAATTTAGCATATTTATGGGAAATGCAGGAATGTGATTAGTACTGCATATGCATGTGCATTATGCAGGATTAACAGCATGCTGCTGCTGTTGCCTGTAGCAGCTGTCCGGCCTAAGCACAGCAGCGTCACGAGGCCGCGTCGCTGTTGTGACAGCAACTGTCGACGTCGCGAGCTGCTGGTGGGGGGGGGGGGGGGTGCGCAAGAGTCGAGGGGTCGTGCGTTGGCGGGCGGGTGACGACGAATTCCCGATCGCAAACACGTGGCGGCTTTTTCGTTGGCCGCCGAGTGAGGAGGGGACGTTTAATGGCCCTTCAAAGGGTCCGCGTGAGAAGAAGAAGAAGATACAGCAATTGTGCTGTGACGGTTTCAACTGAAGACGGAAGCTTGTGTTGCCTCCGAAACGTCGTGATTTATTATTTTATTTATATTCTTTTTATATTATTATTTATTATTTACTTTTTACCTACGTGACTTTACCGAAAAAAACCTAAGAGTATGAATCCTTGCAGTCACGAAAGCTTCAAATCTAGAAAGAAAAAAAGAGCCCGAAGACTGAGTGACGCCTTCCTGCGTGGGTAAACGAGCAGAATCATCGTGATGAAAGAAAAAAAACCCGTTACATTATATACATTTGTAATGCTGCCGCGGTGTAAGAGTTGTTATTATTATTAAAACGCACGTGTGACTCCGGTCGCGTGGACAGAGCCGGTGAGCGAGCGGCTGCTAATCGGAAGGTTGCGAGTGTTGTTTTGGGGTGGGGGTTAACTCAACCCATCATCTCACCGGTGTCGATACAATTACTACCAATTTATGAGAAAGTCCAATAATGGTTGTCCTATGAATATATTCCACCCCCCCCACCAGCCCCCGCCCGCCATAGGAATGGGGAATTCCACCAAGGGCTCGGGACCGTAAACCTGAGATGAGCACCAACGCATTGATGCTAATTTGAGCAGGACATCACTTTGACGCGGTTGACTTTTGGTAAAGGTTCGCACAAATAGCAAACAAAACAAAACCCATTACGTCAACATTTTCTTTGGCGATGCTTGATGCTTTTCAGAGTAAATTAAAGGTCCACCCCTCGTGTGGACAGCCAGGCAATGAAAGGTAGTTCATCGGTAGTGCCGTGGCTTCATCTTCTGAGGCTGTTCTCTGACGCAAGGTGGTGCACTGCTTTCTGCGAGAGCTCCGAATGCCAGTGCATTCATCTCAATCGCACGGCGCCTATAATGCGATTATGACTTTAACACAAACATAAATACATCGTTCAGCGATTCGCTCGTTACTGGCTAACCTAATATCGCTGCGCGAATCCTTGAAATTGTACTCGTAAAGCAAACGGCACGGGCGCAATAACGTTCGGTGTGACATTTTAAAAAAACTAATAAACGGG